AAAAAATTATCTCAAAGTTATTTTCCAAATTAAAGATGGAATCAGGACGAGTTTTCTAGAAACTGATTGGTTCAGAGAAAACCGCAAGAAAATGTGTATGGGAAACGGACCATAAGTTAGGCTGACAAAGACGACCTTCAGTGGCCACCAACCCCCACAAAACGGCAACTTAATGGCACAGACGTAGATCCACTTTTTTCCTTTTTATTTACAGTACATATATATATATATATATTATTATTATTATTTGACGGTGTGTTTGGGTGGCGAAATTTAAAAGGTCAACTAAGGACAGCTTACTTGTCCAAGGACCTATAACGAAATTTCGCCATCTGGAACATGCCTTATTTTCTTCAATTTATATATATATATTTTACACATTTAAAAAATATATATTTTATTTTATAAAAAAATTTTTATTAATTAAAATTTTTTTAAAAATAAAAAATCTCAAAATTATATTAATTTAATAAATTTATATAAAAAGTATTAAAATAACCTAATAAGAATAAGATCTTTTGTTTTTTTCTTTGGTCTTTTACTAAAACAATATAATTTGGAAATATATTTTTTAATATTTTAAAATTTTAGTTGATAAATAATATTTTATTAGTTCAATTTTAATAAATTTATTTTTTTGTGTGATATAATAATTAATTGATAAAAAATTATATTTATCTCTAGTTAATTATTATTTAAATGTGTCTTTTATTTAATATATATTGTAATTATTTTTATAATAAAATAAAATAAAAATAAGTAGATATCCTAAAAAAGAAAAGTAAACTAAATTTGAATATTTCAAGTTAAAAATTAAGACTCAGATTTGGTATTAGATTTTAAGTTTTCATTTTTTATATATTTATTAACTATTAATATATTTAAAAATCAAAATTTATTAAACTTAATTTAAGTATCGTACTAGTTACTAAATATATAGAAAATAAAAATTTAAAATTTAAAATCACAATAATATTAAATGAAACCTAATTCTACTAAAATTAAACAGAAAAAGCAATTTCTTATTTTATTATTTGTTAATCCAAGATTTATCTTTCGATTTTTTAGTATATTCAATGATGAATTGTATATTAGGGCATCAGCATATTCTTTTTCCAAATCCTCCCAACCCATCTTAGGATTGAATTTGAAATTTATAATATGGAGGCTTAAACTTATGATCAATACAAAATATAGAGATTTAGAGGGTGTTTGGTTGAAGACCTTTGTCCTAAACTTTTCATTATTTACATATTTTCACATATTAACACTATAATAAAAGAAAGGTAAAAGTATTATTTTTAATTTTATTTTTTATAATATAATTTTTAATCTGTAAACCTTTTTTTCCTTCATATTTTTTGAAAGGTAAAAGTTCTACTTCTAACTTTTTTTTTTTTTTTATGTAACTTACTGAACAATTTTCCTATAAACTTTCTTAATACTAATTTCTTATCAAATATAGAGAAATTAACAATTCAACAAAATTTTCCTACCAAACTTATTGACTTTTCTATAATACTTTCCTAATCAATTTTCTAATAAAAGCCTTTTTAGTAAAATTGACTTTCTAACTAAATAGGTTCTTAAGTTTTAATTCATCAACGAATCTTCTTAAAGGACATTTTTATGTTAAGTTAAATACTGATTTTAATCTTTAAACTTTACTCTTTATTGTTCTTGAACTAATTTAAGCACTTTTTATTCATCACTCAACTTTTATACAAAAAGTGTCATTCCCTCAACTAATTTTGTCCCCGAGTATAAATTTTTATAATTAATTCAAGTACCAAATTAATCTAAGGATAAAAAAAAAAAAACAATATTAAAGTTCTGGACCAAAATTACATTTAACATTTTCGTTAGTATCATGCGTTTCACACCTGAAATAATTTACCTCTTTAAAATGTTTCCCTGCCTACCTTCAAAATATTTGCAAATATGAGATCTTTGACTGGATACCAAGACTAAGATACCACAATCTCTGGGATTAAGGTGGCCTATTTTGTTTGACATGAGTGGATTAATAGAGAGCAACTTTTATATTCTTTTACCTAATTAAGGTGAGGTTCGATATCTCTCTGCCAATCCCTTTCATTAACTGCCAAGCATCATATATGTTGAGCTGGCACGTGTATATATAGGATATCTTCCACATGGATGGAGGTGAGCATATATCAGCATAAACCAAAGCATCCACGGTTATAGTCTACACAAGCAGACAACAAGATGAAAGTGCCGGCCTATTCCTTTCCTACAACCACAAACTAACAACGAGGACCTCAATGCTAATTAATTTCCATCTTGGCTTTCCACCAAAAGCGGTGTACACATCATTTGTGACGCCAAAAGTTTGAATCTTGCAGCTCTACGGAGGGTCTGCTAATGCAATGTTCATGGCCCACACCCCCAACCCAAAGAAAATGGAGGATGACGAAAAATGAATACTTTTTGAACATTTTATTGAAAAGGTATAGTAGGCATATATATGGCAGCATCGATCATGTTCAGCAAACAATATTGACAAGTTTTTTTTTTTTTTTCTTTTGTCAAGAAATATGTACATATGATGATGAGCTATATAATTTAAAGTATAATATAAATAGTATTAGAAATATGGATTAATATGAAGTTTAATAAAAATTTAAGGACCAATTAAAGGACTGAACATAACAAAAGGACGAACTTAACCCGTCGGGAAAAATTGAAAATTGGGGCTTGATTTGCGCCTGTTATAGCCTAGGCCTTTGTGGGTTGTGGCTTAACTGTGCCAGACCATCATCCCAAGACACTTGTTTCTTCTACAATGAGGAGAGCCAATAACCCCAGGAATTGGATCCAATGATAGCCAAAGTCGTGTTGTAAGTAAATTTAAAATTTTAGTTTTGGGGTTAAGATTCAAGAAAGTTAAAATGTATAAAAATTAATTTAGAGAGATCTTAAACATTCAAATCAATAATAATAATAATAATAATAAAATAATTCTTGTTTTATTTCATAATATGCATTGTGTAATAGAAGATAGTGATTTTTTTTTTAATGACTGTAAGAAAATTTAATTAAAAAAAAAAAAGTCACTTGTAAGAAAAATCTCAATTTTAATTAATATTAGGCTTTACTATAGAAAAACTATTTTAGAAATTAAATCAAGCGTGTTGGCATGAATATCCAAAAATGTGACTCACATAATCTACAATTACGTGTGGTATGATCATATATTGTTCGATTCCCATTTCATCTCAACCTTTGTACCATTAATGAACAGTTAATATATTTCCATCCAAATGGGGAACAATACATCTTTCCCAATCTCAGTACACAAACACCAAATGCTGATATATGTACATATGTAAGTCTTATGATTTGTTTCAAAGTTGCAGAGTAGTTGAGGCATGAGACAACACATACCAATACGAATGAAAGACTTCCATAGTTAGTTAAGGTTTTGTACGCCTTATTAGCTCATGCAATATGCTCCTCCCATCATTATCCTAAGTATTCTCCTCATTTTTATTAACAAATTAAATTAAATTCTTTCTCATGCAAACCCTGCATGTCACCTACCAAAATTAACACCCTAATCTCCAATATATATTAAGCTGTATTCTTCTGTTTGATCTTCTTCATTCGAAAAAGGGACCCAAAAGAAGATATAATGTTCATTTGAGATGAGATATGGATGTTTTTGGATGAGGTGGTGCTGCAGTTAAGTTTTTTTGTATGGATCCTTGCTTTGTTACTTGTTTTCGTACTGTTTTTCTTGTTCTGGTTTTTTTTCCTGCTTTGCTCAGTCAAAAGAAGCATCCTTGGAACTAAGAGGATCAGATACTGTTATCTGCCCCTGAAGGTCTCTCATCTCTAGGGAAATTGTATGTCTCTTTGTTAATGTTTCTGTGGGTTAATGATGTATTTTTTGTTTTTTTTGTTCTTTTTTTTTGTCTTGGTTTTTTTGACGAATTTTTCTAACTGATTATATGGGATTCTTTTATAGAATGTGAATCTGTCTATTGTCCCCTGTGCTACCTCTCTCAATCAAGTTATTTCAGGAAGAATGAACATTGTTCAGAATCTCATGGAGAGACTAAGATCCCTTGTGGGTTCCAAGGGCTGGAATTATTGCCTTCTTTGGAAATTAAGTGATGACCAAAGGTTAATATAATATATTCATATTTGATCTTGATTATCTCCTTCCATTTAATGCATTGATTTTAATTTTTGTGGATTGAATTTAGGTTTCTTGAGTGGGTGGATTGTTGTTGTGCTGGAATTGATCAGACTAGTATTGAAAATGGTGGAGAACTTCAATTTCCTGTTACTCCTGTTCTTCCTTGCAGGGATGTTGTGTATCAACATCCAAGAACCAGATCCTGTGACCTTCTTTCTCAACTTCCTTCCTCCATTCCTCTGGATTCTGGGTATTGATCACCTCTTAACATTGTCGTTTCTTTTCATTTTTTCAATATCATAACATCATGAACTTTTCAGAGAATTTAACCTTCTGATTTTATTAATTAAACAGAAGTTATGCAGAAACCCTGATATCAAACCAACCCAGATGGCTGAACTTCACTAATAGTCCAGAATCCAATATTTTAGAGGTGAGTACTTTTTATTTTATTGTTACCACATCTATGTACATAAAACTGATCATCTTCAAACTTTGTTCAGGAAATTGGAACCAGGGTTTTGATTCCGGTGGCAGGAGGACTAATAGAGTTGTTCATCACTAAACAAGTATAGAAAATTCATTAATTCTCTTAATCTTGTCTCTGTTAATTTTGTTC